CCACGTCCGAGCCACTCACTCGCTCGCGCACCTGCATCTTGGCGTTGTAGTTTCGCGGGATGTCCTGCAAGACATCTGCGCACTTTGCACTGCGCTGGTTTAGTAAACAACTCCAAGCAGTCCTCCGGGTTCGGTAGGGCGACGCTCGTGCATTCCCACTCCATATCTTCCAGAAGTGTGAAGAAGCCCTCCAAGAAGCCCGCAGAAAGCCGGCGGCCGCCATGAAGACTTGTACCCGACGCCAGCAAGTCCGGGGAAGCCTGTGACGTGACCGAGCAGTGTTTTCAAGTTGCCATCGTGGTAGAGTTAGCGTTAGCAGAAACGGAAGCTGTAGCAACCGCAGTAGCAGTACTATTGGTAGCAGTCGTTGTCGTCGCGAAAGGTGCAGTGGGTGGCAGTGGTGGCAGTGGCCGTGGTGGTGGTAGTGGCAGAGGTAGTCGCAGCCAGAGTGGTGGTGGTAGTAGTGGTGGTGGTGGTGGTGGCGGTTGTGGTGGTGGTGGTGGTGGTGGTGGTGGTGGTGGTGGTGGTGGCGGCGGCGGTGGTGGTAGTGGTGGCAGCGGGATGGTGACGGTGGTGTTGGCGGAGGCGGCGGCGGCTGTGGCGGCGCTGGTGGTGGAGGTGGTGCCGGCGGTGATGGTGCTGGTAGTAGCAAGAGAAGAAGACGGAGCAACCGTAATCGTAGTAGCAGCAGCAAGAGTAGTACTAGTAGTCGTCGTCGTCGTCGTCGTCGTCGTAGTAGTAGTAGTAGTAGGGGTAGTAGTAGGGGTAGTAGTAGTAGTAGTAGTAGTAGTAGTAGTAGTAGTAGTAGTAGTAGTAGTAGTAGTAGTAGTAGTAGGGGTAGTAGTAGTAGTAGTAGTAGTAGTAGTAGCAGCAGCAGCAGTCTTCCGTATAATCATTCCCATGATTATCTGTAGCGATACTGCTACTACGACTGTTTCATTTACTATGCTACCAGTAGTCTGTTGCTTTTCTTTGTTTGTTATTATTGTTACTATTGTTGAACGTCTATCATTCTTACTGTTGTTATTGCCATTACAATTACAAATAATACAAAGGCAGGCAAGGCGAAGCCTTGGCAGCGAGCTGTTCGTCGGCGGAAAGCTCCGTGTCGTCGATCGTCAGAGTACCGTCCTGCCCAAACCGAAATCTAGCAATAGATGCAGTGCTACATGCTATTGTGAGCGTTTTACTTGAAAGCCATAGTAACACCAGCAAGAAGCATCAATGTTAAACACTGTAGCAACTGTGGTTGCAGTAATCGTAGAACAAGCCTTTGGTGGGATCCAGAATTTGAGGCTGCTCATACCCAGGATGTTGAAAATCAGGTCCCTGAAGTTTGTGCAGCTCGCAAATTACTACACAACACAAAGACTTTGACCGACACCACACACCAAGGTTGGAAGCTCGACTACCTGAACCAACATAGTGCTGACATTCGGATGAGGAGCTCCAGTCCGAATGCTCTCTTCGCATGCTAAGTCAGATGCATATTGACATACCACGTGAAAGCCAACGACAAAATTCCAACATTCAATGTAACAGGAAGGCGATGATGATGACGCTGGTGCTGAAGGAACCGCCATCACTAGCACCGCTGCTAGAAAACAGGAATACAGCTGCCGCATACTTCAGTCATGCCTTCTTCAATGCTGGTTCTCCATGTGGCCTAACTTGGTCGATCGAAGATCCAGTTCAACGATCTTGATGGCTAACGTCGTCGTATGACATGGAAGGTGGATGATGCAATCCGATGCCATGCCCCGTTGAGTCATCAAGGAGCATGCTTCTTGCATACGGATGTCTTGACAGCATGTATAGCTGGCTCTCGCACACCCACAAGCAAAATGCTGTGTACCAATACATTTTCCATACTATTATATGTATATGTGTGTGTGTATATATATATATATGTATGTATGTATGTAGAGTAGATATATAATTCTCGCGTCGTCGCGTCAGTGCCGCGCCCCCCACCCCCATGGTATGCCCGCCCCCCCCCCCCCCCAAGCGTTAGCCAAGGCCTCACAACGGCGCAAACAGTCACATGGATGGTCCAATCCCGAACAACATCTATGCCTCAAGCCGCCAAGCTGGCAACAACAACCGGAGAAAAACGTAGCCACACGGCCAGCGACCACAGAAGGAGGGGATTGGGGCCGGGGGCGGCAGGGGGATTAGATGGAGTGAGGGGGCGGGAGCCTAGCAATCCTGCACGTATAGATATAATCTTCACGGCGGAGCAACCAATGCGGCCACGATGAAGCAAGCTTGTCGTGTCAAAGACGGATGGCAACACGCAAGTCAACACAAAAATACTACACCAACCCCAGGAAACCGCCACAAACCAGCGTACAGCAGGCATGCTCGTTCCCAGGTTCCCCAATGAACCCGGGACCTGGGAAAACACCGAGTTGCAGCCCCACATACTCACGGCACCCTGGCGGGGGAGGGACGCCCGCAGGACTGCACGGCACTGCGATTTCGAATGTGGCCGAATCCCGAACGGCGACCACGCCCCGACAGGCAGGGCCCGTGCGACTGTGAAACGAACGCGGCGTCGCCGCACCGCAGAGGAAACTGCTGAACCCGTCGTCTTACCACACTGTTAGGGGCCAGGGGGAAACATAGTTAATATAAGCCGCAGACATGTTCATTTTTCCCGGGCCTTGGTGTGGAGCTTCACCACAGAGCCGCACTTGCTCGACTTCATCGTAACCCGCGTCATGCTAAGAACCTTCAGCTGCAAGAAACCGCCGCTCTCGCTCTTCAGCGTCACCTGCCGGAATGTGTCTGTCCCACAACCAAATCTCGTAGTCTCCGTCTACGAGCCTAAGTGTTTCCTGGATTCAGACCTCCACGAACCCAAGTTGTCAACAGCACAACCCTCTGGACGGTCTCCTGCATACGACATATGAGAAGGCACATCTTAGACAGTGGGCCTTGAATTGAAACAGTTTAACCCGGCCTTCCACTGCGGACAACTGAGCAAACGACCCCTAAACTCATGAGAAAATCTTGGCGGCATGTCGTATGTCAGGTGCTTGCATGTCTTGCATGATGCTGCGTGGATAGCGTGACTCTAAATGTATCTTTCCCCGGTCTTGCCATGTCGAGGTTCTTGAAGACGTCGTCCGGCAGCGTGGACACGAGCCCCTTCCCGGGCTTAGACTGCGCCACCTCGGTGCCATACTTCGGATTCGAGTGGGTGGGTCTGGGGCTTCGTGTCTACGGCCTTCGAAAAACTTTTCACGGTGAAGCTTTGGAGCCCTAAAATCACCGGCCCTGGCCCTGGCCTGCAAGACGCCGGGTGAACTTGCCAGGCGTCGGCAAGTCGTGTTTGCCGGGCACGTCGGAGTCACCTGACGAGGCGTCTACGCACTTCTTGAGCCCCGAAGTCTTGCATTCAGGGATTTTGGCGTCGGATAGGGAGGAAAGACACCGACAACCTTCTGGAACGAAGAGTCCCTGGTTCACGTTGGAACAAAACGAAAACATCTACAGTTCCTGGCACGCAAGTAGTAGCCAACGGAGCGTTTTCGGATCTCGCCTCGCCGCGCGTCACCACTGTACCGTCGGCCTGGACGTCGAAGGCTGAGCTGGCCACCTGCTCCAGCCCAAGCTTGCTGGGAAAGATTTCGGGTTTGGGCTGTGCGCTGCTCTGTTCTCACCGTCTGTGCTAGTGAAGATCTTCTACAACTAGGTTTAGAGGTCTGCATGCACTTCCGTTCAAGGGTTCGGGGCATGCAGTGGCGTCCAGCCTTCACAACCTCGCCGTTGGGAGTTTGCATGACCCCGTCTCCCTCACCTCGCATCTCCTTGGCCATATCCACCGCCATGTAGGAAAGAACGAACGTGCCGGTCAGAAGCAAGAGGATCACAGCCGACAAGCCGAAGATGATCCTTTTCATGAGGCGGCCCTCTTTCTTCACCTTCTTGTGGGCATTGGCGGCAGCGGACAACTCGATCACACTCACGCTGCCGCTGCGATCAAGATCCCACTCCTTCATCACGTCCTGGTGCACGATCACTAAAAACACTGAAATTCAGCATGATGCGGGGTAAGGCCGGGCGAACTTGAGTCAAGATCATGTTGGGTCCTGGACGCATTCCGGCATGTGCTCGTAGCTGACCTCTCCGGCATTGTCTGATTTCTCCTTGACCAAGCGCTGAAGCAAGAGGAGGCCTTTCTCAGCCTCCGAATGCGACATGTGGCCCTGAGAACCGAAGACCGCTTTAATGGTACCGAACATCTTCAGGGCATCGCGAATGTTGATATCAGACAAACATCCGTCGTCATCTGCATCGATGACTTTCAGCAAATTCCGTAAGCTCTCGGGCACATTCAATGCGTCAACGTCCACCACGCTCCCATCAGCATTTTTGATGAGGACCTGCAGCGCATGTGGAAGATGACAACATACAGGAACTGAGAGTTTCAGAAAACGGTGGACCCTGATGACGACGATAAACAAGAATCCCTATGATGAGGACCCCACAAGGAAAAGAGGCACCCCCGAGTCTAAGAACCGTCACATGTCACAGTGCTAGAAACAGGCACCTTTGGCCCAGTTTCACCTGCTGGGGACGTTGGCTTTGCAGGCTTCGGCATGGCAGCGTCTGATTAAAACCTACCCTCAGCCCTCTGCACAGCCGAATCTGATTCATATATACCCAGCCTTTGCCCCAACAAGAGATGACAGGTCAACAACATGGGCCTCCCACTTCTCTTTTCCATACTGACGTCGTGCTGTTTCACGTCCTGTTTACATTAAACTCAGTTCAGTACCCCGCTTCTGCCGGGGACCGTGTGAAGCAAGGAAGCATGACAATCATTGAAAAGTTGGACTCCTTAGAAATTCGTCGAATCGTATGTCGAATCGTATGTGCTTGGGATCAGACGCGCAGGACTTTAGGAACCAGCTGCCCATCACAACGGGCCATAAAGGGTGGACCCTGGCTCGCCCACGCGACTTCAAGAGCACCTAACTAAAGCTCAAGTCTTAGCCTGAGTGAACACCAAAGCTCGCCTTCGGGCAGCATGTTGCCTTTAACCACGGCTCACGCGTGTTGGTGGGGATGTCCACAACACCGAATCTCACGGACCGTGTGAAGGCCCCGAAGGTGCTATTTGCTTGAAGGCCCTGTGCGAAGACCGCCTGCTTCATCTCGATATGGTCAAACTCCTCGACAAGGCACGTAACCCATAGCATCGGTTCTGCCATTCTTCCTGCACGTGACCCGAGGAATTCCGCCTTCGCACAGCTGGATGCATAGGGCGAGCCCTCGCTTATGCTCACCTCAAAGGTGACGCGGTCACCACTGAACGATGGATTGGGAAATGAGACTGGGCCATCGTAGGATGCCTTGATCGTTTTCAACTGACCAGGGAGGCTGTTGGCGCTGCTGGAGTACTCCACCTGACACCGACAGGATGTTTTCGGCTACCCGCAAACAGCAGATGCGACACATGTCTACTGGAAAGAGCCTCAACCATGATGTCCACTCCTCCGGGGATGGTCCAGTTCGTCGCCGATTGAGTGCCCGTCGTGGGGAGTGAGGCGAGCATGTTGGCCATGCTGCTGTCGAACAGCATCTCACTCCAATAGGGCCCAAAATCACTCTCGAGATCGAGGAGCTTGTCCGCGTTGTACTTCACCACTCCCGGCCATTCCGTCCAAGGGTCGATCTTCGGCACCTACACGTCAGGCTCGGGGCTTCAGGGTTTAGGCACCGACACATTGACATGAACTCCTGCTCATGTGCTGAGTTCTGGATTCCTGTATCTTCGGCTGTCCTTGAAATATCAAAAAAATCAACTTTTCGTGTCTGGCTTCATTTGCGAACAACATCAGCGATGCTCGTCATGCTGCCTGGGAACGTCCAAAACTGCAACGCTAGATCGATGAATGCAGGACTGAAACCTCGAGCAAAAACTGTGCGCACGATTACCCCGTCATCCTAGAGTCCGGAAAGCATCCTTGTGAAGATCGAAGCCCTCAACATCCGAGTTTCACAGAAGACGGAGCCCTTCCGAAAATAGGGGACCCTTATACATACAGTACCTGAAATAATAGGATCCTTTGTTTAAGGACCCCAAAATAAGGTACCCCATGATGTTCGAACCCCCCCCCCGAAAAGGCTGAAAGCGCTCGCACCTTCTCCGGAGTCCCAGCCGGACGTGTCAACTTGTGGATCTCCTGGAACACGGCTTCGGCTTCGGAATGTAGGTAGGCAGTAGCTGAAGTGCGTAGGATTCCGGGTTTAGGGTTCAGGGTCTAGGGCTTGCGGTGTTTAGGGCTGGTCTTCGTCAGTTTGCACAGCGCAACCTTCAGACCCAGCTTGGGACTCTCCACATGCTGCCTGAGTGAGTGGAGCGTTTCGAGGCCTGGCTTGTATCACTGTGGTGAGAACTCTGATCTCGCATGCGCATGAACCATTGAGGTTCTTCTGTGGAGGCTTCGGTGGATGATCAACAGCGAAATCTGGAGCATCAGGAGCCCAGAGGTGCTCCTCAAGTGAAAGAGTCTCCTCAATGGCTACTGAGTTGGCCGCGTCCCGAAACCACGACCCCATACACTACATCTGAAACTCTCAACCCACTAACCACTCAAGCCCTCTGAGCCCGTTTGGTCTCCGTGACCAACTGGGCGTCGCCAGTGTTGGCCACGGGCTGCGTGTAGTCCGCCTGGCCTCGGATAAGTGGGGCTCAGGGCTTCAGGGCTTAGGGTCCCAGATGGGCTTAGGATCCTCTTCCCCGAGCTCTGGCGTTGCTTGAATTACAGTCTGCACGTCTTCCACCTCGTCCCCTCGTTATGGTGATCATCGGTAATGTCATCATCGCCACGATGATCGTCATCATCATCATCCTCACCACAGCACATCATCATTATAAAATCTGCAAAGCTGATAATCCTGAACCTGAGCTTTACGCCCCAAAACCCCTCGCGACCTGAACGACCAATAAAAAGAAACGTTTCCACAAGGGCACCCACTGTTGATAAAAACGACATCCCAGAACTGTACTCCCTGAATATTCCGAAAACCAATGCTTCTCGACCCGCAAACTGCAGAACCCCTGAACCCCGGCCAGCTCTCACATTGGCCACGATGCAGTCAGAGGAGAGCTTCTTGACACCAAAGAAGTCCAATGCCCCCAACAAGTCCATTTGATCCACCGTAACAAGCCTTGATGCTGATGCCACTGACGGGTAGTAGCAGCAGCAGCAGTAGTCGTCGTAGGGGAAGTGGTGGTGGTAGTAGTAGTAGTAGTGTCGTCGTGGCAGTGGTAGCATGCTAGTAGTAGCAGCAGAAGTAGTGGTTGTGGTCGTGGTAGCAGTAGCAGAAGTAGTGGTTGTGGTCGTGGTATGACTAGCAGTAGCAGTGGTAGTGGTAGTGGTAGCGGTAGTGGTAGCAGTAGTGCCGGCAGAAGCAACTGCAGCAGCAGGAGTAGTAGTAGTAGTAGTAGTAGTAGCGCTACTACTACTACTACTACTACTCCTACTACTACTCACTCCTCCTCCTGCTGCTGCTACTACTGCTGCGACTACTACTACAACTACTACTACGACTACTACTACTACTACTACTACTACTACTACTACTACTACTACTACTACTACTACTACTACTACTACTGCAACTACTACAATTGCACCACTAACTTCTTCCTCTACTACTACTACTACTTCTAGTTGCTGTTGTAGTAAGAATAGTAGCAGCAGCAGCAGCAGCAGCGGCAGCAGCCGCAGCGGTGGTGGTGGTGGTGCTGCTGCTGGTGGTGGTGGTTAGGTGTAGTATTGTGGTAGTGGTAATGGTTGTGGCAGCACTGGCAAAGGCACCCGCAGCCGCCGTCGTCGTCGTAGTAGAAGCAGTGGCACTAGCAGCAGCCGTAGCAGCAGCAGCAGCAGCAACTCTTGTTGTTGCTGCTGCTATTGATGCTGATGCTGTTCTCGTTGTTGTTTCTGCTGTTGTTATTGTTGCTGGTGTTGTTGCTGCTGTCGTTGTTGGTGGTCTTGTCGTTGTTGGAGGAGGAGCAGGAGGTGGTGCTGGTGCTGGTGCTGGTGCTGGCTTCGTTTCGTTTCACTCGCAGCTATGGAGTCCAAGCTTTGCGTACAGATTATGTCAGGACGACTATGGTAGCCGCCCCGGCTGTCTTTGGCAGCACATACACGTTGGTATGCACGGTGGTGCTGCTGGTGCTGTTGCTGTTGCTCTTGCTGTTGCTGTTGCGGTTGCTGTTGCTGTTGCGGTTGATGTTGCTCTTGCTGTTGCTGTTGCTCTTGCTGCTGTTGTTGCTGTTTCTGGTTCTGTTTCTGTTGCTGCTGCTGCTGCTGCTGCTGCTGCTGCTGCTGCTGCTGCTGCTGCTGCTGCTGCTGCTGCTGGTGCTGTCGCTGTGGCCGTGGCCGTTGCTGTTGCTGTTGCTGGTGGTGGCGGGGCTGGCAGTGCGAGTGGCAGTGGTGGTGGCTGTTGCTGTGGTGGTGTTTGTGTTGGTGTCGGTGTCGGAGTCGGTGTGGAGTTGGAGTTGGAGTTGGTGTTGCTGTTGTTTCTGCTGCTGTTGCTGTTGCTGCTGCTGCTGCTGTCGTTGTTGTACGAGACCTGCGTCTTGAAGCCAAGGCTCTCCATGTACTGCATGGTAACGTTGTACACGCCCGTCGGCGAGAAGGCATGAATGCCTTGGCGATGCTAATTGCGAAGGTTTGCAGCCAGAACATCTAAAGCCCCAAAAAGCGAGGGCAACCGAAGGCTGTGCCTGAAAGCCCTCGCTCATCGAACAATCCGAGAAACGGTAAGGATGGCCTGATTGGAAGACGCCTGTGGGGTCCGTGTCCACATCGAAGTAGTCCAAGGTGATGACGTCCACAAGCCTTGGATTCGGGATGAAGGGTGTAGCCAACCCCTGCACTATTGCGTGTAGCGCTGCAGCGTGATGCAAGTCAACCCTTCGTGCGAGGCAAGGTGCCCGTGGAACTTGAAGATCTCGCTGGCCTTGTCGGTCATGGTGTCTCCCACCTGCATCAAAACACAGGTTTGTTGTAGGCCCAGATCAGACGAGAACGGAACGATGAAACGCCTGGAAAACCGCCCTGTGCCATCGACTTCCCAAACTTGAGTTGGCTTAAGGCATATGATTTCCGAGCGCACCTCCATTCGCCACTGGCGCAGCACCCGGCCGCTCTCCTGCGTAAGACCCACCAAGCGCAGGCCAGAGGCACTCGACACCAGCGTGCCCAGGGCCTGCGCAGATCGTCGGGACAAGAGGAGTCACAGCCGTCGCGCAGTACTATCTTCATCATCACCATCATCGGACCATCACCATGATCACTTCTCTCATGCCCCTACTCTCCATCATCTTCCTACCACTTCCAACACCGCTGCGAGCACCACTGCGACGACCTCTGGCACCACTACCACCACTGCGACGGCCCAGAAAGGCCATCCAAAATGCTTTTGCAAGCGAGGGGCCAGAGAGACCGGGGACGGCCCAAGACGGCAGTGACTTGCGGTGTCTCCCATAGCATCGAGAACTGCCTTTGCTCCATTCATGGCATTGGCTGTAACCTCAATCTGCGTCTGGAGAGGATGCATCTCGAACTTCTTCGCAGCCACTCGGAGGCCCTCCAAGACCAAGACATCCTCTGTCCAGGTTTTGTAGTAGACCCCGTCTTCTGCGACAATGCCAGGCTTGGTGCCGACCTCTGGGAAGATGGACTCCACGTCCGAGCCACTCACTCGCTCGCGCACCTGCATCTTGGCGTTGTAGTTTCGCGGGATGTCCTGCAAGACATCTGCGCACTTTGCACTGCGCTGGTTTAGTAAACAACTCCAAGCAGTCCTCCGGGTTCGGTAGGGCGACGCTCGTGCATTCCCACTCCATATCTTCCAGAAGTGTGAAGAAGCCCTCCAAGAAGCCCGCAGAAAGCCGGCGGCCGCCATGAAGACTTGTACCCGACGCCAGCAAATCCGGGGAAGCCTGTGACGTGACCGAGTAGTGTTTTCAAGTTGCCATCGTGGTAGAGTTAGCGTTAGCAGTAACGGAAGCTGTAGCAACCGCAGTAGCAGTACTATTGGTAGCAGTCGTTGTCGTCGCGAAAGGTGCAGTGGGTGGCAGTGGTGGCAGTGGCCCTGGTGGGGGGTGGTGGTGATTGTGGTCGCGGTAGTGGTTGTGGTCGTACGAAGACTGATTCAAACTTCAGTGGAACAGGCCTTGGCCGCGAGCTGCTCGTCAGCGGAAAGCTCTGTGTCGTCGATCGTCAAAGTACCGTCCTGATCTGGAACTTCTGGAACGAACTGATTTTTTAGGGCGGCATAAGGAATTGCTCAGGAATCTCGGCAGTTTGTTCACGCGGTTCCCCTATTTCTGAAATTCCGTCATGGCAACAAAGCTACGACAAAGGCCGGAACCAAACAGTAAGGTTGCAAGTCTCACTACCTGAACCCACACACTCGAACCGTCAGATTATGACACTGGTACGAATGCTCCCTTATGATACTGAACGCACGGAGGCAAACAACAGACCTCCATCATTCATCGAAACAGGAATGAGCACAAGCAACGGTGATGGGGATGTTCCAAGAACCAGCATCACCAGCACCACCGCTCAAACCAGGCCTCGAACTTCGCGGCAACAACAAACATTACCCGACGACTGCATACGCAAGTATAACTATCACAAACTTTAAATCATGCTTGAGTTCAACGTAGATGTACAACCGTGGCAGACACAGTACACCTGTTGTCATAACTAATCCGACACAACAAACGCCTCACACGACACCAAACCCACGGCTGACTATTCAGTGGCCACTGGAGAATGCTAGCACGGAACTGCACCATCGCAACATGTTACCAACAGGACAATCCTGCAACAAAAACGACGAACCAGAGGCACTAAACAGCGGACATCGTAGAACTAACTGCACTCGATTTCACAACCTATGGGCGAGAAGAGGCAAACAGATAACACCAAGATGCATCATAATACACGGTGGAACACGATGCAGACAAGAACAACGACAGACATCATCAACAGTATAGTCGTAGTCGTAGAAGTAGCAATAGTGGCAGCAGGTAGTAGCAGTCGTTGTCTTCGCATTACCCCTGCTAGAAACGCATGGTGGGAGCTGTACCGCCGGCGGTGCAACAGTCCTTAATTCCGAAACGAGCTTTCTCTGCAGTCTATAAACTTGTTCATGCATCACGGGTCCTGGGTGTGGAGCTTCACCACAGAGCCGCACTTGCTCGACTTCATTGTAACTCGCGTCATGCTAAGGACCTTCAGCTGCAAGAAACCGCCGCTCTCGCTCTTCAGCGTCACCTGCCGGAATGTGTCTGTCCCACAACCAAATCTCGTAGTCTCCGTCTACGAGCCTAAGTGTTTCATGGATTCAGACCTCAACGAACCCAAGTTGTCAACAGCACAACCCTCTGGACGGTCTCCTGCATACGACATATGAGAAGGCACATCTTAGACAGTGGGCCTTGAATTGAAACAGTTTAACCCGGCCTTCCACTGCGGACAACTGAGCAAACGACCCCTAAACTCATGAGAAAATCTTGGCGGCATGTCGTATGTCAGGTGCTTGCATGTCTTGCATGATGCTGCATGGATAGCGTGACTCTAAATGTATCTTTCCCCGGTCTCGCCATGTCGAGGTTCTTGAAGACGTCGTCCGGCAGCGTGGACACGAGCCCCTTCCCGGGCTTAGACTGCGCCACCTCGGTGCCATACTTCGGATTCGAGTAGTTTAGAATGCACGCTTCAGGGATTAGGCTTCTACCCGGCGCTTGGTGTAGGGTCATCTACGGTTGAGAGCTTAGGCTTCTACCCGCCAGGACAGTCTTCGCTGAGGGCCCAGGCCTGCAAGACGCCGGGTGAACTTGCCAGGCGTCGGCAAGTCGTGTTTGCCGGGCACGTCGGAGTCACCTGACGAGGCAGCTTCGCGCCATGGGGAGGCAAGTATCATGAAGGGGTCACTCGCTGATAGCAACGAATGCGCTTACGGTTCCTGTGCGCAAGTGGTAGCCAAAAGAGCGCGGGTTCCACATGACCAGCACTGAGATCCCAGAACGTCGCCTCGCCGCGCGTCACCACTGTACCGTCGGCCTGGACGTCGAAGGCTGAGCTGGCCACCTGCTCCATCCCAAGCTTGCTGGGAAGGATTTCGGGTTTGGGCTGTGCGCTGCTCTGTTCTCAACGTCTGTGCTTGTGAAGATCTTCTACAACTAGGTTTAGAGGTCTGCATGCACTTCCGTTCAAGGGTTCGGGGCATGCAGTGGCGTCCAGCCTTCACGACCTCGCCGTTGGGGGTTTGCATGACCCCGTCTGCCTCACCTCGCATCTCCTTGGCCATATCCACCGCCATGTAGGAGAGAATGAACGTGCCCGTCAGAAGCAAGAGGATCACAGCCGACAGGCCCAGGATGATCTTTCGCATGAGGCGCCCCTCTTTCTTCACCTTCTTATGGGCATTGGCGGCAGCGGACAACTCGATCACACTCACGCTGCCGCTGCGGTCAAGATCCCACTCCTTCATCACGTCCTGGTACATGGCAGCTTATGGGCTGTTAACAGACCCTAGCATGCAAACACTACATGATACGGGCCAGCGGGCCAACTTTTATGGAGAGTGCGAATTGTGCCCAAGACTTGGTGAGTCCTGGACGCAGTCCGGCATGTGCCCGTAGCTGACCTCTCCGGCATTGTCTGATTTCTCCTTGACCAAGCGCTGCAGCAACATGAGGCCTTTCTCAGCCTCCGTATGTGACATGTGGCCCTTAGAACCAAAGACCGCTTTCATGGTGCCGAACATCTTCAAGGCATCACGAATGTTGACATCAGACAAACATCCGTCGTCATCCGCATCGATGACTTTCAGCAAATTCCGCAAGCTCTCGGGCACATTCAATGTGTCAACGTCCACCACGCTCCCATCCGCATTCTTGATGAGGACCTGCAGCGGAGACCGGACACGTAAGGACTGTGTGAAACTGCTTCCCCTGCTGAAACATATGGGAACTTCGGAAAATGAGGACACCCTGCGAACCCGAATCCCTACGTAGGTGCGAAGGTTGTTGAAGAAAGCTCCCACATTGCTGTAAGGACACCTTTGCCGGCGGCCCTGCTTGACCTGCTGCAGGTGCGGGCGTCGGCGCGACAGGCTCCTTATTGATCCCCAGCGTCACCTCATCGAACCAAGGATCATACTCGTCATCATTGGCACCCGTCGATGCCGATGCCATCTTAAAACCGATGAAGCTCGCGAAGGCAATCGGTTTAAAAAGAGCTCTTATTGGGCCGAAACACGCTGGAGAGACCGGACACTTGTCAGCTCCACGGAGTTTCTCATGGATGCTACAGACGCTTTCAGGCTCTGCGACATTTCCACTGCACTTTCAGATCAACACGTGGATGCACACTGGTGGTGGGACTCTTCTCGCAAGCCCCCGTGAGCCTTTTCGTGTCCACACGCACGGATCGCAGGAATGGAACAAGTGTCGTTCAACATGCATGCTCGGACAGTGTCGAAGCACTCGCGAAAGGGACGAGGCTGTGAATTTTTCTCACATCTCGGTATGTCCTTGGCATCTAAGTACTCTAAGGGTGTCCCTTTGTGATGCTTCGTGGCATCGCTCAATCTGCTCATGTTCAGCCTGGCGCCAGGCAAGTCCAAGAAATTCAGAACCGTTTGAAAGGAATCCTGCTGTGCCCGACTCAAGGTTTCGTAAGGGATCCACAGTGATGGTAACCCGGCATCCAGGACATTCTGGTAGGCTTTTCGGAAGTCTCGAGAAACTCTCGACCAGATCTTATCCTCTCTTCGAAAATCCACTCTTTTTTTCTCGGCCTGCTTGCCGGGAGCAACCATCATAGCTGAAGAGGCCAATGCATGAGCCACAGCGTTGGTCCTTTCCAAGAAGATGATTCGCACGCAGCGCTCCTTCAATGCCGCCACGAACTCTGCCTTTCCCAGCATCTGCGGCCAGCCATCACACCAGTGCCATGTGAACCCCACTGCAGTATGGCTGGAGAACAGCTTTGTGATCTCCAAATTGTCGTACCGTGTCCGAAGACCCTCGTCTGTCTTGCATGACGTCTCGTCTTTCTTGCATGACGAGTTGAACTGAAAGCAGGCGGTCATCCTTTTGTCGTACACTTCCAGGCCCCAGTACATATCCAACAGCCTCAGAAACTGCGGCCAATTTTCGAGCTGCTGATCGTGGAAATAAGCTCGTCTCTCTTCCACGCAAGACATATTGCTTCCTGAGATGTGCTGATGCACTGACGGTACGCTTAGATGCAAATGTGTATGCCAGACACGATCCCGCAAAATCTTCCAGCAGCCACATAGATCTCCTGTAATGAGAAACAAACTGAGTCCAGCCATTTCAGTGACACTGCCTGCCTCACTCACCCATCCGCTCGCTGGCTAACCCACCCTCCCTCTCTCAACATACAGGCTTCATCAGCACCGCTTGCAATGTACTTGTGACCCTCCTGTCACCGCGAGCCCGCAACGTCTGACCACAGAAAAAGTCAAGCTCCAGGTAATACGGTAACACCCTCAAACCCCCGACAACATAAGATTCAGTACGGGTATAACATATCGTTGAATTTGCTTGTTTGCTGCCGGCCCTTGCACTGCTCTGTAGCCCCAACAGGCACGGGGCAGCTTCTGTACTACACACGCATTTGAACTTCAACACGCGCTCTTCTTGAAGTAGGGGTCCCCACAGAGCCTACTTGCCCTGGGATCGGTTGGGCATCCCCCTGGCCCCCCCACACGCAAGGGGACCGTACAGCTGCCCATCCGCAGCGGGCGGAGGCTCGGGCTGTGCACGAAACCGAAGCCTGTACACAGATTTGCGGCTCTCAGGTGTCTTCTTCCCTTTCCACTCTCCCGTCGCTTCCTTCCGGGAACAGCATATGGCGGCAGATTGGATACAACCCCTGAGGGAAAGCTGGCCATGAGAGGCAATTCTTGCCGGGAGGATTAGGCTCGAAGCTCCTGTCCCCTGGCAAAGTTCGGCAAGGCGCACCTTACACGCTTCCACGACATCGGCCTTAGGGTCTCTCGCCTTTCTAAGCAAGATACTCACACCGGCAGTGAGAGACCAAAAAAATCACTCTCATCGCACGAGAGCAAAGCTGAGACTTGTCTGTTGCAACGCAGGTTTTCAATGCTTACACCGCTCAATCTCCTTCTTCGGGAACTCGGGAGACCAATCTGCACCGAATGCTTTCCCCCATTCCTGCAAGTGTGCCTTCATGCTCTGCTCTTACACAAACCCCAAACCCTAAATCCTGCAAGCCCCAAACGCTAGGTGCTACACCAAGCGGCTCCCATGTATGGACACGTTGTGAAGATACTGGTGCCACTTCGGCCACAGCGTGATAAGCAGCTCGCCATGATGTAGCACCTCTGCGTTTTACAGGGCCAGTTTAAAGGGTTTTATACCTCTATACTGACGGGTTGCAGGCTGTGGTAACGGTTGATACAGGGATTCTATATACATATATGCATTTGTACACATACATACATACACATATATATATATATGTATATATATATATACACATATATACACATAAATACTGTCCTAAGGTTATCAGCATATAAGGCTCGGGGTTTAGTAAGGGTATGGCGATCGGTGGCCACAGCAGGGCTGAGCCGACGAAGTAAAGCCGAAGCCCAAACCTCCTTAGTGCTTGGGATTTGAGCATAGGCTGTAGGGACCGAGGATCTTAAATCGGGTCCCTTTCCTCCGAGACTCATGAGTTCGTAAGGGACCTGGCCTCGGGCACGTCATTCAATACCGCTTGCAACCAGGTGGTGCCACTGTGCTGAATGGAAACGACCTCGGGACTCACAACTAAGGGATGGATGTGGGCGTTTGTGAAACTTTCAGATCTCCCTGTCAGAGCCTCCTGATGACCGGTGATATTACTATCCAGAGGTCTATCCGGGATTCCGTATCTGCGGAACCTCACCTGTCTGAGTCTCAACACTTCGTGTCTGTGAGCAAGTGGGCCTGTCTCGCTAAAGCCTGAACACTGCCTTGACATCTCCACAAACCTGTCAGCTGAGCAAGCGGCGATGAAGGGCCGGGGCCGCGCAAAGCAGCGCGCACTTTCAGAGAAGCGTGCATCGCATAAACGAAGATCGCGCTGTAGGAGCAAATCTACCTCAGCTCAAGGTCGGACTGTCGCCGCTCTGTCAGAGCTATCCGATAGCTGTCTCCGCATGTTGCTCGGGATGACTACAGCTGTCGAAATCTCTTCACACATCCATCCGGCGGGAAGGAACTGCATGCAACGACAGACCAGCACACCTGCAAATGTCACAGCAGCACCAAGTGCAGGCGGGATTGCAGCGCCCCCCAGCTGCGGCAAAGTCCGCAAAGACACTATTCCATCACCTGCACCACTTAAGAAGCTCCGGTACTCCACCAATTCACCACAGCATCACGGCACACAAGAACAATTATCGGCCGTTCCCCAAAATGGGTGAACAACGCCATCTGCCGAGGTACACAATGGATTGAACAACTGCCACTTGCTCGTCAGCAGAATGAAAGGCGCGATCAGCAAAATCAAAATAATTGCTCTCTTGTAGGTGCATGCATCCATCACGGCACAGACCAGCAATCGATACGGGGTTTAGGGATTGGGGTTTCTGGATTAGGTTTCGAATCTGCAGCCACATGACATGACATACATTAAAAACATACGACTGTTTCCTCGTGGAGACATCGGGCATGCTTGACCACAGTGCAAGTAGAGTTTGAATAGCGCAACAAGCAATTGCTCAAAATGCTTACGGAGATCAATTAGGATGCAAGGGTGCTGGGTTAAGGTTTGCTGAGCCGAGAATGTGCCATGACTCGTGACATGCAAAGTCGATGCAAACCTTCAGGATACTGGACGCACGAGTGCCTTCACCCGAACGAGACTTCGTGCTGAATGGGCTTATCCACCTGTCCTGCTGCCTCAATTCAGCGAAACATCAGCACCTTCATGGCTTTCTTCTCGAGTTGCGTGCAGAATCAACCAGACTTGTTGCGTAACCGATGCACAGCTAGCCGAAGCTTCAGGCTCGTTTCAATCTTTTAAGTACAGTTAACTTCTTCATTTGAACCATCATGGAAAGCTTCAACAACTGCTGCTGCTTTGCCTCTACTTTCTTCGCCTTTTCCAGCCCTGCCTTGGGCTAGCCATTGGGCACCCTTCTCAACCGACTGGGTTTTTGGGTTTGTGCGAATTGGTAGATAGGGTTTAGGGGTCCCGGACATCAAGCCTCGGATGAGATTTCAGGCATTGGGTGTACGGCTGTAGGGCCGAAACCCTGAAAGTTCGCAATCTGTTTTTCGCCACTTGCCGGAGTGTCGGCGGGCGCGGCGACCTTGGTACAAAGAGTGCGACCCACAGAAAAACACCGCAGCTGTCAGGTATGGATTTGCAAACAGGGCTTGCAACTCATTTGTAACAGTGTCCTGCCTGAAGCCGAAGGTCCGACTGCGCTTCCTCTTCCTCCACTGCAGAATAACTACCCGAAACAACATCCTCCTACAATTTCTCATTAGCTTGACTGCGGATCGTTTACACTGCGGATCCATTACGCCTGCTACGGTTGGAAATGGTACGCTCGCCTACACAAGACCGGAGCTGTGCGCAATGAGGTCGGTAGCACGGCGCAGTACATGTGCACGCTCTCTGCTCTGCCATGCAAGGGCGGGGAGTGCGATCAGAAGCCACCGAAGACTCGAACACTTCGCTATGTCGGCGTTTGACAGCGTCTGACAGCGAGGAATACGGTACAACACGGTAAAGCGGACTGGGGCCAATACAGCCCGGTCATTGCTCCCAGGCCGAGACCGTGTTCCAAAAGGCTTCTATGGATCGAGCTGGGCTTCGGGAACTGCAAACGAGCTACGGATGCTTCGCGACGCAAGCGCGAAGCGCCCGTGCCAAGTGCTTCTGTCCATGTGATGGAACTCGGATGCATGCGGAACGGCGAACTTTCTTTGGTTTAGAAGCTTAAACTGCAAAGTCAGACTCCTCGGCACCCGAAACATTTGGCCATGTCAGCATGCTACATTCAGGAAGCTCGAGTTTAGGAAATTTGGGGGCCGAAGCGTGCTGCTCTGGACGTGCGGCAGGCGAATCTCGAACAGCCCATCGGTCCTACCTCATCCAGGACAGATCTGCGCCGCCGCAGGAGAGCACCTGCGCCGGGCAGTAG